GCATCACACAGAGCTGCGTTAAAGTTTAAGTCAGATTGATGATGTCACTGCGTGTTTGATCCAGATCCTGAGGAAGAAGCCGACCGCTTCAACGACGTCGCCCGCCAGCATGGACACGAGCGAGGACCCAGACACAGAGAAGGCGCTGAAGGGCTTCGACTTCCTGTCCAGCCCGGACGAGATGGACACCTCGCCGGAGTCCAGGGGCAACGGGGACGGGACGGACTGGGGTGAGTCAGGGATCAAAGATTAATCTCACACTTTAAGGGTCCCATGGTTTTTTTCTGATTTCTCTTAAACAACCACGGCGCCACATTTGAACCATCTCGCTGGCCCGCTTGCATGGTTGAAAACCTTGTGGCGAGCCGATTGCACGTTCCTCTGCTAAGGCTAGAACTACTTCCTTAAAAAAAAAAAAAAAAACATGAACACATTTTCCGTTAGTTCGCATCGTTGTCGCTGATTTTCGAGATCATCTCGTTAAAAACTGTTAAAGCATCAAAAGCTGAAACCAAGCGCGCTGTCATCACGCCTCAAGACGTTCATTATTGATTCTGCAACGGCGTAATATTGGTGTTATGGTCATCTTCTTACGGCGTTGCAGAAGACACGGCACAGCGGGAGCTCCACACACACACACACACACACACACACACACACACAGCGCCGCGCCATCTCGCCTCATTTATTATCTCCTAAGGCCGCACGGAGGCGGGATCACTTCACCCGTGGTCAGAGACTCCAGAACATCAACATCTTATTTTCAAACTGAATCATTTGCTTACAGTGATAAATACAAACTGATAAGCGGAGCTGACATCACTACTGTACTCGTCTGTCCAATTACAAACTATAAATAGTCTTTGGAACAGCCACAGCCAATCAGGAGGCAGCTAGTCTGTGTTTACTTCCGACCAATCAGAGAGCATGCTCTCTCCCCCCCCCGAGCATGATGGGATGTTTCTTTCTTCAACAGCTCAGAATCAGATAATCTTCTCTTCGAGTTCTTCTTGTTTTTTTGAATTGGGGACAAATAAAGTTTTTTGAATTGAATTCTTCTGTAGTTTTTGGTGATTTTCACTGAGTGCTCGTCATCCATATTTCATGCTGTTGTCATAAATCATGATGTTTGAAGTGTCTCTGTTTAACCCATGTGTGTGTGTTCCCATAGCCAGCGTGTAACCACAATGTGTCTCCCACACCTGTCGTCCGTTCCCCCCCCCCCCCCCCCCCCCACCCCGGAGTCTGACTGAATACCAGGCTCGACGTCATGCTGAGGTTTTTCTTTGTATTTGAACTTTGAGTCCTGAGCACAACAACATGATCATCACAAACATTTAGAGGCGGCGACTCGCCTCCGCTTAGAATCCAAATGTTCAAATGAAAGAACTCCCCACATGGCGTCAGCTTCACGACCTCTCCCCGTAGAAAACAAAGGTTAAAACAAGCCGGCTCTGAAAGCTGCTCACGCCCCCAGAAGACTGTCCTGCTCTCGTGGAGGCCTGAGAGACCCCGCCAGGCCTCCTCAGCAGCCTCTCGGTTTTGGTTTTGTTCCCCCCTTGTAGACAAGACGAGCAAGTCCCATTTCTGAGGCCTGGGACGGGACCCGGGCCTGATTACCAAACTGAAGGAGCAGTACAAAAAGGAGCGCAAAGGGAAAAAGGGGTGAAGAGTAAGTCCTGCCAAGCGCTGCTGCCTCCTCCTCCTCCTCCTCCTCCTCCTCCTCCTCCTCCTCCTCTCTGTTGAGACAAAACAAAACAAAATGAAAACATCTGTCCTCTCTCACCTCCTTATTATTCCTTCTTTGCTCTGTCCTCTTCATGTCTCCTCTCCTCTTCATGTCTCCTCTGTCCTCTTCATGTCTCCTCTGTCCTCTTCATCTCCTCTGTCTCTTGTAAACATCCTCTGCCCTGTTGTTCAAAAGTCTAGATTTACAGACTCCAGACTAAAACGGAAATCTTGATTCAGCTGTCAGGACTTTGGCATGGCGTTGCTGCATAAGAGATCAAAACTCTCTGAGGTCGTGGTCGCTGTGCCCGTGCTGCAGCTCCACGGTGGACGCTGTGCTCCTAAACTCTTTTTGACCTCCACCCCGGTCATGTGACTCAGAGCTATGATTAGAAATGTTGTTTTGTTTGACCATTCTGATATTTGTAATTCAGTGTATTGAAAGTGTTCTCAGTCCTGATATAATCCAATTAAACGTCTTTTGAAACAACCTGTTCTTCAGGTGTGATCCAGTCCGAAGCTTTTATCCAATCAGATGACTTTTGAACAGCTGGGCCGTGTTTTATTTTTACTCATCCAGACTGTGAAGCCTGCTGCATGTGTCTCTGTCTTTCACTTTTATATTCTCTCCACTCATCTGTTTTTTGTCCTGTCAGCGTTCTCCTCCACCTTCATCCGTTTCCTCACGTGTGTCGGCCATGTTGGTTCTTCATTTAGCCGCTGTTAAATCCAAATTCAAGAGTTGTTAGAGACTCAGCTCCGCTCTCACTGCCAATTACCACATTCTCCGTCAACGCTCCTGTTTCCACAGCCGGCGCCGAGGTCTGTGTCCGGAGCGAGCCAGCAGCGCCGCTCTGCTGTGTTTCAAACGCGTTGATGGAGCTCGCTGCAAGTACATGTTAAGCTGGACAGAGTAGATCAACCCGTACAGGAAGTCAGACAAGGAATGTGGTCTTGTAGTTCTCCTGTGATCTTGTAGTTCTCTTGTGATCTTGTAGTTCTCTTGTGATCTTGTAGTTCTCATGTGATCTTGTAGTTCTCTTGTGATCTTGTAGTTCTCCCCAGATCTTGTAGTTCTCATGTGATCTTGTAGTTCTCCCATGATCTTGTAGTTCTCATGTGATCTTGTAGTTCTCTTGTGATCTTGTAGTTCTCCCCAGATCTTGTAGTTCTCCCCAGATCTTGTAGTTCTCCTGTGATCTTGTATTTCTCATGTGATCTTGTAGTTCTCCCATGATCTTGTAGTTCTCATGTGATCTTGTAGTTCTCATGTGATCTTGTAGTTCTCCTGTGATCTTGTAGTTCTCATGTGATCTTGTAGTTCTCATGTGATCTTGTAGTTCTCCTGTGATCTTGTAGTTCTCCTGTGATCTTGTGAACGCTCTCATGGCTGCACTCAGGCTCCACAAACAGACGCAGTGGGGCCGTGCGCTTTCGGTCTGATGGAGTCAAACCGTGGCGCTGACAGGACGCAGCGTGCACACGGGGCTGTGTGGAAATTGTCAGTCAGGATAACGGTCCTCTTCATGTGAAGCCTCGTTCAGTGGCTCTTAGATTTCACACTCAGGAGTCCCACGCTCTGCGGTGCGACGGTCGTTTTATCAAACTGTAATTGAATCATGAGTCCCACAGCTCGCTTCATCTTCACACGTTCTATTTCTGTTCTTTGCACTGCGTTGGTACGTTATCGCTCAGCGGGCGTGTGGAGGAGATCATGAAGAGAGATGTCGGGACGTTTTTGTCTCTCTTTGGTTTCCTGCAACTTTGACAACGTTACTGAGCCTCGATGAGTGCGTCAGCTCGTTCTCGAGGACTTCCTGTCACAATAAGAGCGTTGAGTGTGTCCTGTCACAATAAGAGCGTTGAGTGTGTCCTGTCACAATAAGAGCGTTGAGTGTGTCCTGTCACAATAAGAGCGTTGAATCTGTTACTCCGACAGTTCGTCTTAACATCGACTCTGCTGCTGACTTCTCTTCATTCATTTTCTTCTTTCAGTGCTGCTTTCCCTCCATCTTCATCCTGAGTTCTCTTCCTCGGCTCGTTTTTTCTTTACGTTAAATATTCTTCGTTTTGATTTTTCCGCCTCCTCATGTCTGTGTGCTCTGTTATGTTTGACCCGATTCGTTAAACAGGGCCAAACCGGTCCAAGCTGCAGGACATGCTGGCTAACCTGAGAGACGGCGAGGATCTGTCCCACATGCAGCCTCCGTCAACGCCACAATCCAGGCCGAACGCCGCCCGCTTCAACGAGCACGAACCCAACAGAACGGACGAAGGTGCAGCACGAGCTCGAAGCATGAAAGAGTTACACTGACTTTATCCAGAGGGGCGTGTCTTTAAATTCATGATTTCTGTTCTTAGTCGAGGCGCTGACCTTCCCGCCCACCTCGGGGAAGTCGTTCATCATGGGCGCAGACGAGGCCATGGAGAGCGAGCTGGGGCTGGGCGAGCTCGCCGGGCTCACCGTGGCCAACGAGGCCGACAGCCTGGCGTACGACGTGAGTAGAACAGGAGCTGAGGGCGGGGGGGGGCGGGGGGCGGGGGGCGTTCTGACGGGAAATATTTCTGTTCACCTTCTCGTCTCGAGTCCAAAGATTAAAGTGTGCGTCTCTCCTCAGATCGGGAACAACAAGGACGCCATGAGAAAAACGTGGAACCCCAAGTTCACCCTGCGGAGCCACTTTGACGGGATCCGAGCGCTGACCTTTCACCCCGTGAGCCCGTACTCTCACACCTCAGGACCACACGCTGAAGATGTGGAACCTGCAGAAGACCGCTCCCGCCAAAAAGTAAGCAGCTTCGACTAACGTAAGAGAGAGAGAGAAAACTGACAGTGACCTCAGACCGTTTTAAAATGTTTAAAGACGTTGTGACATTAAAGACGTGTGAGGAGGGGGCGGACTGGTGGCGCAATGGTTAGGGGGCGCGTTCCATGTGTTGAGACTCTCGTCTCGAGCGGTAGGCCCGGGTTCACCTCCACCCATGGCTCCTCTCCACATTCCCCACCCTCTCTCTCTCTCTGGTTTCTGACTCTATCCACTGTCCTCTCTCTCTCTGGTTTCTGACTCTATCCACTGTCCTCTCTCTCTCTCTGGTTTCAGACTCTGTCCACTGTCCTCTCTCTCTCTGGTTTCTGACTCTATCCACTGTCCTCTCTCTCTCTGGTTTCAGACTCTATCCACTGTCCTCTCTCTCTCTCTGGTTTCTGACTCTATCCACTGTCCTCTCTCTCTCTGGTTTCAGACTCTATCCACTGTCCTCTCTCTCTCTCTGGTTTCAGACTCTATCCACTGTCCTCTCTCTCTCTCTGGTTTCAGACTCTATCCACTGTCCTCTCTCTCTCTGGTTTCAGACTCTATCCACTGTCCTCTCTCTCTCTCTCTGGTTTCAGACTCTATCCACTGTCCTCTCTCTCTCTGGTTTCAGACTCTATCCACTGTCCTCTCTCTCTCTCTGGTTTCTGACTCTATCCACTGTCCTCTCTCTCTCTGGTTTCTGACTCTATCCACTGTCCTCTCTCTCTCTCTCTCTCTGGTGTCAGACTCTATCCACTGTCCTCTCTCTCTCTCTGGTTTCAGACTCTATCCACTGTCCTCTCTCTCTCTCTGGTTTCAGACTCTATCCACTGTCCTCTCTCTCTCTCTGGTTTCAGACTCTATCCACTGTCCTCTCCTCTCTCTGGTTTCTGACTCTATCCACTGTCCTCTCTCTCTCTCTGGTTTCTGACTCTATCCACTGTCCTCTCTCTCTCTCTGGTTTCTGACTCTATCCACTGTCCTCTCTCTCTCTGGTTTCTGACTCTATCCACTGTCCTCTCTCTCTCTCTGGTTTCTGACTCTATCCACTGTCCTCTCTCTCTCTGGTTTCTGACTCTATCCACTGTCCTCTCTCTCTCTGGTTTCAGACTCTATCCACTGTCCTCTCTCTCTGGTTTCAGACTCTATCCACTGTCCTCTCTCTCTCTGGTTTCAGACTCTATCCACTGTCCTCTCTCTCTCTCTCTGGTTTCAGACTCTATCCACTGTCCTCTCTCTCTCTGGTTTCAGACTCTATCCACTGTCCTCTCTCTCTCTCTCTGGTTTCAGACTCTATCCACTGTCCTCTCTCTCTCTCTCTCTGGTTTCAGACTCTATCCACTGTCCTCTCTCTCTCTCTCTCTGGTTTCAGACTCTATCCACTGTCCTCTCTCTCATTAAAGGCACGAAAAGCACAAAATAAATCTTTAAAAAAAATAAAGACGTGTGAGGAGATTTTATGTCAGAATGTTTTTTAACATCATCAAAAAAAAACAAGCAACAAGTCAAACTTTGAGCGTTTTATGTAGCGGCGATAGCAGCAAATTCTGACCAATCAGAGAGCATGTTCCTCGAGCGTCACTCTTGTAAATATCCCCGTGTGAACACAGAACGAACTTGAGGTGATTATTCAACAATGGAATAAAAACTGATCCGTGATTTAGACCAGAGCAAACGATCTCCAGGTGTGAAAACGACCTCTAAAAAACAACAGAGTTTTACACAAAGGAGAGAAACAGATCTGAACATGTGACACTACTGCACGACTCCTTCAGACTAACCTGAACGCCAAACAGACGATGACATTAAACTTCCAAACTCCATGTGATCTGCAGAGTCCCTCTGCACCTTTAAGAAAAAGCTAAAGACCCAGCTCTTTCATGAATACCTACTAACTTAATGATGATGGTCTCCATATTATTGATGATGATGATGGTAATGACGATGGTTTTTGTTTGATAACGACGACTTATAAGATGGTTTCTATACTGATTAGAGCTCTCAAGAACTGCCCTCAATGTTGTGCTTTGCCTCTGGTCACTTCCTGTCAGCACCTGTGTGTCCAATCAGACTCAAAGCTGATCGTTTGCTCTTACTCACATTGTTCCCTTTTTTCTAGATCCTTGCTTGTGTTGTTCTTACTCTCTGATGTACGTCGCTCTGGATAAAAGAGTCTGCTAAGTGAATTGTAGAATGAAGTTGTTTTCTTTCTCGTCCACAGGAGTACATCTTTAGACGTAGAACCCATCTACACCTTCAGGGCTCACAGGTAACGACATCAATCACAAATGTTAATGTGTGCGTCTGATTGGCTGGAAGATTTGATTATTCATCGTTGTTTGCACCACAGGGGGGCGGCGGTACTGAGCGTGGTGATGAGCACCTCAGGGGAGCAGTGTTTCAGCGGAGGGGTCGATGGGACCATTCAGTGCTGGAACACCCCCAACCCCAACATCGACCCGTACGACTCCTACGGTAACGCAGCCTCGTGGTTCTTTTAAAGTCTGACACGTTGTTGTTTTTTTAACTCCACCTGACCGAGGTCATCGTGTTTTTCAGACGCGTCGATGCTGCGTGGAGAGTTGTGCGGACACACCGACTCAGTCTGGGGTTTAGTGTACAGCAGCGCTCACCAGCGCCTCCTCTCCTGCTCTGCGGACGGGACCGTGAGGCTGTGGGACGCCAACACCACCTCCCCCGCCCTCGCCGTGTTCAACGAGGACAAAAGTACACACCTCCAGCTTCCTGAGTCGAGACTTTAGACTTCATACTAACATGGAAAAAGTTAACATGCCTCTCTTCTTCTGTGTTTAAGACCTGGGAGTCCCCTCCTCAGTGGACCTGGTGTGCAGTGACCCCGCCCACCTGGTGACCTCCTTTACAAACGGACAGATCGGACTCTTCAACATGGAGACCCGTCAGCTCGTCCTCAGCCTGGAGTCCAATCTGGAGCCGGGTAAGTTCTCACAGCTCATCAGTGACTTTACCTCAAAGGGGAACGTTGAGGCTGAAGCTCTTCAGTGACATCTAGTGGCCGCTGTTGGTAGAACCCGGTTTATTCAAGACTGTATGTCTGCAGCCTGGCGCTCTCTCCTCTGTGTGCTCTCACCTGGATGCCTGAAGCCGAGCCCCCCTGAGCTTCTAATTTTCAACATAAAGCTCCGGAAATAAAAATATCTGTAGTGTACCTGAGATAAACATACCAGGTGCTTATACATTCAAGACGAAATACAAAATAAGCAATTTTGTGATTCTACATGTTTATGTGTGTTTTGAGTTGTATATAAACACACAGCTCAGTCAGCAGGTTCTGTTCAGCTGTTGAAACAAACGGCTCTAACTCTCTCTGTGACTCATTTGAACGTCTTTTCATTCATTCATTTGGGCTTCTTGTAAACCTCGGGCACGTGACTCCTTCTTCACCGTACACTCTTGTCTTCTTTTGGCGCGGTGCTAATGTTTGAATTAATCATAGACTGTAAATATTAATTAATGCGCGAGTTCGTAAACTGCTTCTTGACCCAACGCACTTGCTGTTGCCAAGAACACAGACGAGAGAGCGCCAGGAAGCAGCCATACCTGACTCGGTTTATTAGCAGGTACAGGGTTTCCCATAGAATCACGCTGTACCTGGGCGAGGACGTTAGCGAGGGTGTTACTAGCTCATGATATTAGGTTTGTTTATATTTATTAACCCTTTGACTTCCACTCGAAGAAAGCCATTTGCAAAAAATGATTTGTTGGTAAAATTGTGTTCCTGCCTCTTCATTAAGCAACATTACAGGTTCTATTTTTCAGATTACCCAATCAGGAAGCAGATCTGCAGGTCAACCAGCTGGTTGACTATTTAGAGTTACTTTGGATATGAATGGATTTCTTTCATTTCTGCAACAAAATGCTTTTTTCATATATAAACATCACAGAGAGAAGAACTTCTTTAACAGATTGAATGAGTAGCAATGGTTAGAAAAGGTGAACAAAATAAGAAATGAGTGACTTGAGCCAGGCCGCGTAGACTCAACCGAGCGGTCGACCATGTTTTCTGAGGAATCATAGATATATATTTTATTGTCAAATTTATTTCCTTCAACTAAAATATGATTGTTAGAGGGTCTATAAATGATTATTTTTTTTACCTGGACGTTTGCTCTTGTTCTGTGAGATTTCTGAGGAGCTGTGCAGCGCAGAGTCACTCCCAGTATTTTCCACAGTTTTAAGACAATGATAATGATGTACAGCAGCGCCACCCATTGGACATAATCAGGGTTACATACACTATTCAATGAGGTGAATGAGGATAAACAGACAAAGAGGTTTTCAGAGTTTGAAATACAGCAATATGGCGGCGGAAAAAAGGTCAACCGTGCTTTATGATCGAACTTCTTTTAACGATTGAATCTGCTCACACACGCTCACATCCTCGTTAAGTTCACCTGTCCGCTCACCTGCTCAGCTGTGATGTCATCTTGTTCCTCTGCAGGCTCTCCGTGTCAGATCAACAAGGTCCTCAGCCACCCGACTCTCCCGATCACCATCACGGCTCAGGAGGACCGACACATCAAGTTCTTCGACAACAACAGCGGGAAGATGATCCACTCCATGGTCGCCCACCTGGACGCCGTCACCAGTTTAGCCGTGGATCCAAACGGACTCTATCTCATGTCGGGCAGTAAGTATCTCCTCGCCACCAACCTGTGTTTACAGATTCATATATATGTATATGTTGGGCCGTGAAGGACGGCGTGGATCCATCACTAGCCGGAGGAGAAAAGGTCGTATTTGTCGGCCATCTTTGAAGTATCCTTTGTGGTCGGCACTGAGCTTCCTTTATTTTCAGCATCGTTTCCTCGTTCTGCTTTTTAACCGTCTCGTCGTCGTCGTCTCCTCCGCAGGTCACGACTGCTCCATCCGTCTGTGGAACCTGGAGAGTAAAACCTGCATCCAGGAGTTCACGGCTCACAGGAAGAAGTCCGAGGAGTCGATCCACGACGTGGCGTTTCACCCGTCCAAGTGCTACATCGCCAGCGCCGGGCGGACGCTCTCGCCAAAGTGTTTGTATGACGCGGAGCTCTCACTGCAGCTCCGCCCGCTGACCCGCCTCCAGTGATCAGGGACCAATAGAGACACAGGAGGGGAGGACCCTCAGGCGCTGGTCCAGCCCCGCCCCCCCTCACAGCCCTCTGGTTTCATGTCGGACTGTCAGACCGTGTAGCCTCAAACGGGGGCTAGACCGGGGAGGAGGAGGAGAACTGCTCGAGTCCCTCATCGACCATCCAGGCAGGCCTGGTGTGTACACACACACACACACACACACACACACACACACACACACACACACACACACACACACACACACACACACACACACACACACACACACACACACACACCACACACACACACACACACACACACACACACACACACACACACACACAGAGTGCCCCCGTCATGACCCCAGACTCAAACCTCACCTCCTCTGCAGCGAGGAGGCTCAGGACAAGTGTTAAAGAGAGCAGAGACTCTTCTGGCCCCGTGACTTCACGCTCATCCTGGATCCTCTTAGACTAACTGAGACCGGGTCTCCCACTCCCAGTCCTCCCACTCCCAGTCCTCCCACTCCCAGTCCTCCCACTCCCAGTCCTCCCACTCCCAGTCAGGTTTCATGTCGTGTTGTTCCAGAGATGTCGGGTAGTGAAGGCTCTCTGGAGCTGTCGTGGAAGCCCCTCCTCACCCCCCCTCCACCCCTGTCGTGGAAGCCCTCCCCCCTCGCCTCCTTCTTCTTCTTCTTATTTTTTATTCTTCTTCTCTGCTTCCTGTTCAGACTCCACTCGCTGGCCTGCCTTGTTTTCCTTTTTGAAACTTTTGTCAAAATGTGCCTTTGCTTTAAAAAGGTCTCGGAAAAAATGTTATTTTAAAAGCTTTGTTTTTGGGGCGAGGGACGGCGACGGGATGGCGATGGCGAGGAGAAACGGAGCCAATGATCACAATGTTGTTAATTTTTAAACATCGGATGTAAAATTACAAATGCTTATAATAAACAAAATCTATATTCAGTCTTAAGATTTACTGTGCAGCGTGAGTTTGAGTGCTCCTCTTCGATAGTGCGGCTGGGGAAGCGATTTCTGTGCATTTCACGGCGGCGAAGCCGTGAGACGGAGACGGACCGCTGAATATTTAATGTCTGTTCATTAGAGGTAATTGTACGATTCAAAGTAAACCATCTTGGTTATTTAACTACAATCACATTTGGTTCTCGATGTGTTAGGAACAGATTTGGCCGCTTTGCTCCCGTTTGACTTAAACGACTTGTACTGTACGTAGATTCCCCGACCGACCGTGTGGACACGCTCGACTACGACGTGCCGCATCACGTCCCGATATTTACAGTAGTCCAAGTGGTTAGCCGGACGTTAGTGCAGGACTGTTTGAAACCATGTTGGGTCCACCGTCCGACGCTGACGGAGGAGCGATGTCCGAAAGATTCCGGCGCTTTGCTGTAAACTGTGAGGAAAAAAACAATCCTGGGATTCGAAAAAAAAAAAAGAATCAATCGAGATGTTGTACGAGACGAGTGCAGCTTCAATGAGCCATTTTCTCAGTCACTGGTTGTATATGAAAGTATGTTCAAATAAAAACCTGCTGTAAAACCACAACTGGGCTCTGGTGTCGATCATTTCATGGACGTGAAATCTGTTAGCATAACGTTTGAAAGATCAATGATTGATAAGATAAGAAACCTTTATTGATCCCACACTGGGAACATTGGGAACATTGGAACATTGGGAACTAGGAACCTTTGGAGGAGCTATGTGCATTTCCACCGCAGGAACTAGGGTCTAAATATACCTCTGGGGTAAAAGATCTAAAAGTGACCCTGCTAAGGGGATGGTACTTGCCAAAATTCCCAGAACGTTATGGGGGGGGGGGGGGGGTGTTAGGTCCTGCAGCACCTGCAAAGCTTAACGTCTCTGATTGTCAGGCACAGCAGGGCTTTAGATCACCTACTGTGTTTAAAAGACTGATGCTGCAAGCTCACTGTTTTTCCACCTTTATCTGGGCTGTGTTGGAGTTTTAAATAGTCACATTTGTTTATAATATTAATAATTATCCTTAATTATTAATATAAATTAAAGATATTTTTAAATAAGTTTAATTAATTCGGGCACCACTCTGAGATCAGAGAATCACGTCAATCAAGTATTGTATCACAACTTTCTCAGAGCGACTCGGAGCGAGGAGACAGAAATGTTTATCTTAATGAGGAGGCGTGGTCGACCTCGTTGCGAGGTATGACACATTTTTTTCAGAAGCTGTGATTGGTTGATTAAAAAAAATGGAAGAAAGTGCTCTATTAGTGATAATGGGCGTAGACGGACAGTGAAGTCGTCCAGGCCCGATCCAAGAACCTAGTCACACAGCCTACTAAATATTTGAAAACATGCTCACCTGTGCACCGCCTCTTCACCTGCTGATTGTTGTATCAACGTGAAGAGATTGGATGCACCTGAGGAGGTCAGCACATGTAGAGGGACTCCCGTGCAGCCTCACTTTGCAATGAACGACGTCAGAGATGGATGGAAATGTCTGCACAAAATATTTTTAGTCTCTTCAGCCCGACTTTGATTCAGTCGTGTTTAGAGAACACATCTACACAGTGTACACATCTACACAGTGTACACATGCAGGTTGCGCTTTAACGTTGCACAATCATTTATTACTTGATATATTTGTTGGTATTTTGGATGTGTTAAAGGTTTGTCACTTCAGTTATGAGTGCTGCATGTTTGTTTGGTAACCCTGACTTCACAGAAAACTGATGCTGGATTAATTTTCACTTTAAAATAACTTCGAAAAACAATTCACAGATGAGGTTTGGAATGATACAGATTCACATTAACTGTTAACAGGGTTAATGTAGAAGAAGTGACTGTTGGATGTAATTGCATCCCAGTGCCACCAGAGGGCCCTGGGTGCTGTGCCTGTAGTGTAATTAACCTGAGTGTGAGTGCTCCTGATGACCCCCAGGTGAGCCTGGTAGTAATGTGCAGACATTTTTACCTGCAGTAAAGTCCTCAGCTCCACTGAACATGAAGTGTCTGCGTCCTGTTAATATCTGAAGATATCACAGTATGTTTCTCTGAGGGCGGAACAGAATCAGTTCTGTAACACCTTTGCACAGAAGTTGCCTAACTCCCCGA